CCATCCCTGGGAGTGTTCCAGGCCAGGTTGGATGGGGCTTGGAGCAGCCTGGGCTGGTGGGAGGTGTCCCTGCCCAGGGCAGGGGTGGAATGAGGTGATCCTTAAGGTCCTTTCCAGCTCAAACCATTCTGGTGGTTAGGAACCCTCCTCATTGTCAGGTGGGAACATTCATGGCCAGTTTGTACACATTTGATTGTGTTTCACATTAGCCCTAAATATCAGGGGTAACATTACACTGGCACTGAGAAATCACATCTTCCCTCTGATCTTGCTGTCCATATTCAAACAAGGAGAAGTAAAACTGTGCAAATTAAGGCTTTTGGCCAATGTTAGGCTGAAAAGAGATGCCAAGGGAAGAGAATGAAAGGCAACAAGTGAAGGTGAAGGTGATAAAAGGAATTAACTTCTCACCTGTGCAGCTTCCAGTGGCCACAGGACACCTCTAATCTGGTTGTTGGGAGATCAGGGATTAGAAGTATCAGGCTAAAGGTTGAGTTTACCTATATCAGGTCATCCACTGAGAAAACTGAGGCTAATTCAGGGTCTTGTGCCACTGAAGGAGAGTTGGGGCTGAGCTCCCACAAGGAAACACTCTCTCACTCCCTCACATCTTAACACCTTGGGCAACTTGATGCCTCCCAGCCTGGACACCTGTTAGCATTCCCTACCAATTGCATGATTCAGGCTTTTTCCATTCTCTCAGGTGTCTAAAATCCAGGTATTCTTCTTTTCATGCAGTGCTTGAATCCACTTACTGTGGTCAGTTTATTAAAGCTCATCATTCACATGCTCAGTAGGGCTAGAAATGGGTCTCTGAGTGCTCCTGAGTCTCAGTTTGTGCTCAGGGGTTGACAATGGTGGATATTTCGTGGCTATTTCCCTCAACCCTGTTCTTAGGCAGCAAGTAGAGCTCCCAGCTCCAAGGGATTACATCCATCTGGGAAAACTAATCCTCTTTAGATGACAGCAAGGAAAATACAGCTGTAATTTAATAGAGTCATAGAACCATGGAAAGCTTCTGCAGTTCCTTACACAGTTCCTCTGCAGCTTCCCTAGAGCCCCTTCAGCTCCTGCAGGTTGCTCTGAGGTCTCCACACAACCTTCTCTTCTCCAGGCTGAACAGCCCCAACTCTCTCCTAGGGAAGCTGCTCCAACCCTCTGATGAGCTTCGTGGCCTCATCTGGACTTGCCGCAACAGTTCCATGTCCTTCTGATGTTGGGGGCACCAGAACTGTGTGCAGCACTCCAGGTGTAGCCTCACCAGAGCAGAGCAGAGGGGGAGAATCACCTCCCTTGACCTGCTGCCCACACTCCTTTTATGCAGTGGTTTCGGTTGGAAGGACCTTAAAGATCATCTCATCCCACCCCTGCCCTAGCCAGGGACACCTCCCACCAGCTCAGGCTGCTCCAAGCCCCATCCAGCCTGGCCTGGAACACTCCCAGGGATGGAGCAGCCACAGCTGCTCTGGACAACCTGTGCCAGTGCCTCAGCACCTCACAGGGAAGGATTTTCCCCTCTGTTCCAGGTCTCTCTCCCTTCCCTACATGTCAACAGCCGTTTCAGAGCAGAGCAAACCTCCTCCATCCCAACTTTCATTGCTTTATTTGCTTCCTCATGCTCTGCTGGGCAAGGAATTCTGGCTGAAATGAACTTCATCACTTAATCATTAAAAGCCTTTGATGCATAGGAGGAAATTTGTGTTCACTGAGGAACAACTTGGTGGCAATAAACTTCTTCCCTTTGCCCAGCTGCTTTAGAAGGAGAAACCAAAGGCCCAAACTGCTATGACATACCCATTCAAAGGTGATTTCGAGATCACAGGGTGCACAGGGTTTGTTCTGAATGGGTTATTCCCTCCCAGTGCTGTAGAGATGATAGATAAATGAACTTATTCAATGATAATTCTCTGCACATAATTGAACTGTTAAGTGATAATTCTCTAAGGGAACAAAACACGAGAGAGTGAAGGTGAAAATTAAAAGTGAGATGTCTTGTAACACATTTCTAGAGGCTCTGGTTCTACCCATATTCACCTGAGTTACATTCATGGGTTTAAATATTAAACTCATGTATGTGCTCAGCCTTACAAAGGGGGGAAACAAACCTATGTTGTGGTTTTACACACAATGTTGTTGCCTCATCATGTCACAGGTAATTTCAGTCACAGCTCTGAGGTGCTCTTAAAAATTCCTGAAATCCAAGGAAATTAGAAGGAAAAAATGCTAATTATGAGTTTCTTTTCTCAAATACATCTCCCTACACTTGGGGTGTAAATAAAGCCACTCCAGGAACTACTGGGGCAGTGCATGGCAAAGGGCTGGGAGTGTTCCAGGCCAGGTTGGATGGGCTTGGAGCAACCTGGGCTAGGGGAAGGTGTCCCTGCCCAGGGCAGGGGTGGGAATGGATGGGCTTTAAGGTCATAGAATCATAGGATGTTAAGGGGTTGGAATGGAGCTTAGAGATCCTCTAGTTCCATGCCATGCCCTGCCCTGGGCAGGGACACCTCCCACCAGCCCAGGCTGCTCCAAGCCCCATCCAACCTGGCCTGGAACACTCCCAGGGATGGAGCAGCCACAGCTGCTCTGGGAAATCCATTCCAGTACCTCAGCACCCTCAGCGAGACACCATCACCAGCTTGAACCACACCCAGCATCTC